CAAATTTAAATGATGCTTATGACATCGATGGGCTGCTTGCTTCTAAATATAGGTGGCCTCCAGATAATGCGGTTAGGTCCTCCAGAGCATGTTAATCCATATTATTACATAAATACATAAGGTTCAGAAATATCTCATAAAAGATTCAATGAAATCTTCAATAAACCCAATAAACCCAGAGAATTCTGTAGACGATAAAATGAAGTTTATAATAATTTTTACCTTCTTTTATAAATTTCAATTATAGACAAAAAATATTATCCCACCATGTCAGAAAAAATTTATTGACAGAAAGAAAGTAGGAAATTGCAATGAAGTTAGCACAGATGTCATAGGACGTATGCCTATGATGGAATTAGCTCTTCTGTCAACATAAAACAGAATGTTTAGTCTACCGGACAGAGAGAGAGAGAGAAGGCAAATATTTATTCTACCGGAAAGAAAGAGAAAGAGGGCGTCAACTACTTGTTTGAAAAAAAAAATAGTAAAAACGAAACTGAAGGTAAAGGAATTAATAAATTAATAAAGAAATTAAAATAAAATAATTATTTAAATATAACTAATAAAGATGTGACGTTTATAACGTTACAGCCTTTTTCCTCAAGTTGGTCATTCAGAATTATATCTCCTTCTTCTTGTTCTCGTAGCACTACAACCCGGGGTGGGTCTTGGCTGACTGTACAACTTGCTTCCATCTTGAATCGTCCATAATAGTTGGGTCAGTGGGTAGTCCCATTGTTCGTAGATCTGACCATATATTGTCTCTTCATCGCATTCGTGGACGTCCTAAGGGCTCTCTTTCTGTGAGGGCTTCCTCCCATATTAACTTGGCAAAGCGGTTATTAGGGAGTCTATGGACATGGTCAGCCCATCTTAGATGTTGGAATCTAATCTCTTGGACTATGTCGTTCGCTCTATACATCTGCTTGACCTCAGCATTTGTTCTTATTCGGTATTGGTTGCTATTTATGTCGTGATAAGGTCCAAATATTATGTTCATGGATTCTAATTGAATGTGATTCTAGTTGAATACGTGTCCTATTTTGGACACGTAGTAAGGGGAGACCGATATAATATTCTTCAACTTATTATGATGGGTAAAATCGAAGGACGCAGAGGAATTGGTAGAAAGCAGGCCTCTTGGTTGAAGAATATCAGGGAGTGGACAGGAATAAAGAAAGCTGAGCAGCTATTTAGAATAGCGCGAGACAGAGACAGTTTCGCCATGTTAATCGCCAACGTCAAGGGGACTTGATAGGGCACGTTAAGAAGAAGGATTCTAATTAAGTAGCTTTAATTTTGAATATGGAGAATTTGAATTTGGTCATTATAGGAACGATTATGATCTACAAGCTGAAGTGCGTACCTATGTAGAATATGTGTTTCTATTATTGAAAGCCTTTTGCGTTCTGCTGTACGTTTGTTAAAGGTTCTATCAGTTTGACCGATGTTAGTTTTTGGGAAGTCACAACATTTAAGTTTGTATACAACACCTTTTAAGTGCTTTTTTTACAAAAGCACTTTGCTAAAGAAGCTGTAGTGTTAAAACAAAAATTTTAGTGTTCTTATTGTTAGAACCAATTATTGTTAAATCCTAAGCTATTTGATGAAGTATTAATTTGTTGCGATAAAACTAAACAACATAGTGAACTAGAAGTTTTATTTAAAAAATAACTTATGCACTCATCTCGGGGCCAAAAGGTCAATTAAAAATTTATTTTATAATGCTTGGTTTATTCCCAACAAAATATTTGATAAAAACCAAAATGCCACAATTAAATAAGTATTAAAAGATAACTCTCTTGATGTAAGATAATATTAAAGATATCAGCTCATTGAAATGTTTATATTGATTGTTGGCAAATTGTTGATAAGAATTCATTTTTATTTTTAAGTACAATATGTAACGATTCAAGCCACTAATTTTGCCTTATAACTGTAATGATCTCAAGGAATATATATTATATTATTAGCAAAAACGTGTATATAAATTAATAATGGTATTACACATAGGCAAATGCAAATGTAAATAAAAATTGCAAATGTATTTTTTCAACACACAGACATACACAAGGACGCAAAATACGAGAGGATTAAAATCAATCATAGACTACACAATCATACGACAAAAGATAAATATGATTGTACTAGGATGTAAGAGTATTGAGAGTAATTACCTGTGGAAGTGATCATCACTTATTAAAAGCTAAGATCACGTTTGGAGTAAATAAACCTAAAGAGGAAGAAGAAGGTAATGAAAGGAAGAAAGTAATACAGAAGAGGATAACCTTATCAACTTAGAACAAGAAAGCGTTAAGAATTATACAGAAATGATTAAATCAAAAGTTGGAAAATAAACAATTTAATAATGAAGAAAATTACACTCACATAAAAAGCTGTCTCCAGGAGGCAGCAACAGAAGTCATTGGATACCAAATCCAGAATAAAAGAAAACTTCCATATTGGTTTGACGAAGAAATAGAGCAAGAAATAAAGAAGAAAAGAGACCAATATCAAAAATTCTTAAATACAAAGAATATAACGGATAAAATAATCTGCAAGGAGTCTCAAGCTAAAGTACGAAAAATGATATGTCGGAAGAAAAATGAAGCATGGCAACAAAAGTGTAACATGATAAACTTACATCTAGGAAGACGAAGAAGCACAGAAAGTTGGAGAGTCTTAAAATCTTTACGACAAGATAAGAAGAGAGACATACTGTCAACAATAACAATGGATGACTGGAACCAATATTTTGAGAAACTCCTAAGGGAAGATAGACCACAATTTAAAGACACAACGAAACACAAAATATAAATATTTTAACTTCGCCCATACGAATAACAACGAAAGAAGTGGAAGATCTATGTAGATCTCTAAAAAAATAACAAAGCACCGGGTCCAGGTAACATTCCTGCAGAGTTAATTAAATACGGTACAACCAAATCATATACAAGTTTAGCCAAACTGTTCCAAAACTGCATTAATGGAATGACAACCCCAGAGGAGTGGAAGACATCATTCATATCCACTATACACAAAAAAGGCAGAAGGGATGAATGTGACAATTACAGAGGCATTGCCGTGACAAACTCAGTCAGTACAATATACGGAAAAAGTAATTAAAAACAGAATAGAAAGCGAATCATAAAGACTTAGAGGCTGAGGAACAGGCAGGATTTAGAGCAGGTAGATCTACTGTTGACCATTTGTTTTGCATTATACAGATTATTGAAAAGAAAATAGTCGCTAATCAAGAAGTACATTTATTGTGTGTAGACTTACGAAAGGCTTATGATAGCGTACCACATTATAAATTATGGGAAGCGTTAGAGAAAACAAATATAAGCATGAATTTAATAAATGCGATGAAGGAACTGTACGCTAATGCTAACTCATAGGAAAGGTTGGAAATGATGTGTCAAGTGAACTCCAAATGAATAAAGGCCTTAAGCAGGGCTTCTGTCTCTATCGGACATTTTAAAATTTATCTAGAACAGGCTCCAAAACTGTGGAAGAGCAAATGCAGAAATATGGGAATGCCGATTAACAAACAATAGCAGATATACTTTTACATTTGCAGATGATCAACTAGTGATAGCACAAGATTATGAGGATATTGAGTATATGACTCGAACATTAATCGAGGAATATAAAAAATGTGAACTTGAAATCAATATCCAAAAAACCGAGTATATGTGAAGTAGATTGAAGGGCGTTAAGATGCATTATAGTGAAAAATCGACGAGCTAATTATATGGAGTTAGGCGTTTTATGGAGTGACGTTATTGGAAGACACCTTCCTAGATCAACATGTCACCTAGAGGCCCACAAATTAGGATTTGGTATTTACTAAGTAAGTTTTATAGTTGAAAAAATTAGTACGAATTATTTTTAATAAATTTCATTTTATTTTATGCTAAGTAAAAAGCCACTTTTATCATTACAACAAAAGACAAATATACTAAGATGGTCAAAACAGCATAAAGATTAGACTTAGTTGCAATGGGATTCAATACAATGGACTGATGAGTCCAGATTTGAAGTGTGTGTTGGAGACAGTAGGAGTCGCGTCATTGGCATGAAAAATGAAGCTTTCCACCCCAGCTACCTGAAGAGAAAAGTTAAATTTCCTGCATATATCATGATCTGGGGCAGCATATTGTCTAAAGGTGTGGAAAAGTTAAATTTTATCGATGAGATTATAAACACGGACATATATTGATTTTTGAAGATTTGTTTGCAGAAGAGAGTTTGTCTATTCAAAAACATGTAAGATGGGTATTGATGGGTTTTAACAGTCGGTATAGTCGCCAGCCGCTTATACGTATTTCAATCTCATTAGGTTTTATCAGAGCGACATATCCAGTTGCACTGTCTTTCTGAAATGAAAAAAGCTTTGAGAAAACATCCTGCCAGGTCCATCAACGAATTGAAGGAAAAATTGCAAGAAATATGGGATTCGTTTACATTAGAATTTTGTCAAAACTATGCCTCGAAGAATTGTGGATGTCATTAAAAATAAAGGGGATGTAACTCAGTGATGAACTTTCACATTTTTTTATTAATATTACATATTCTATGCGTTTTTTAAAATTTATTATTATTTTGTTTTAATAGCTTGTTTTACGAATATTTTGTTGGAGCCTTTGGTAGCTAAGTGTAAGGTCCATATTAAGAGAAAAACAAATATTTAGGGCCTTTTAGATTAAAATTTAACATGTTATGTTCAAATTATCAATAAAGGCACAAATAAACCTGACTCTTAAACAAGTTTTTTGGATACAACAAAGATATATTATTTAATAAAACAAAAATTGTATTTTGAAAATGACTTTCAATCTGGAATCCAAAACGATAATCTCTGGTTTTTAGAGGATTATTTTAAATAATTTTTTATTTTTGATACATTTAATATAGATTTGTATAGTGAAAATGTTTTATAAATTTTACATAAATGATGCAGCTCTAAATGCCTATGAGAATAAAAAGCTTCAAACCTTGATTCCCTTGCAGACACTCAAGCTCGATCGTGTAATCCCAGAAGTCCAAAGAACTCATAGTATTAGAGCTATCTGGTTCGACATTCATTTTGAACAAAAAGGCAGTCCACTCACAAAAACCAAACAGTTAGCTCATCTCACTCAAAGTTCAAAGTACTTCACGAAACTAGTCATTTAATAGTAACCGAAAATAAATTTACTGTTTTCTGACATTAAAAAAATTTGGGTACTACCACTATATAAGTACATATTAATGAAGACCGTCTTGGACGACTGAGTACCATTTAACACGGTTCCAAAGCGATGTTCATTGATCAATCTTATTCAGAGTACGATCACCTGCGGACTGCTGTGTTGCTACTCTCAACGCGGTTGCGGCGACAGTACTGTTACCGAGGGTACCACTGCGCGACTGTTTGTAGACAAGCCTAGAGATAAACAAACACGAGAGTGCAGTGGAGGGTTCATTGAATATGTTTAAGGTTCGGTACTTCAGTGGGAATCGAGTAGGTAGTTTCTCTTTCCAATTGGGCTTTTTGTTTATTTTTTTATTTGTTTTGTGTTAGTTTTGTGGTGCTCCTAACAATGAAATACACATTTTCTACTCTCAATGACGGGAATAGGTACTGTAGAGAGCATAAAGGTACAGTTTATCTGGTTCAGTCGATATTTATTTCATTCTTCCTATTATGTATTAACTATCGTAATGTGTGTAGCAAACAAAACTTATTCTGGCACTACTTATAATATAATATTAGAGTATATAAAGAATATTCATAATATTATCAAAAGGGATTTAGGCCTGAAGACATATATTACATTTAATATACATGAATGGATATTAAGAGAAGTCATTAAATAATAAAACAGCATCTATCAGGAGGAAAAACATACTTTACTTGGAGCTGGTATTAATAATGATTATCAGATCATAAAAAAGACGGCAAAAGTCATGCCTTTTGCACTAAAGACAAACACTCTTTAAATATCTGCCTATGTTATATATACTCTACTTTTGCAGATGACCAAATCAATGATAACTGTAACAAATATAAAGAATAATAAGCTTTCAAGTTCTCGGAGCTTTTCTACAGCCTGAGCCAGTGGCGCACCCATGGGGGGTTTTGGTGGTTACCCTCCCCCGGGGCACTATTCCGACACTGTTACTCACAAATTTTAAGGACTTAAAATGGTAGAGGTAGCATAAAAAAAATTCGGTGCCCAACCAAACCCCCTCCCCCCTCCAGAGGAAAATTCTAGGTGCGCCACTGGCCTGAGCCTCTATAACAGTTAGAAAAACAAAAGTAACTATTTAATTATACTTTACGAAGAGCTTTTCTGCCTCTCGGAAACTTCCAAAGTAGTGGAAACAAAAAAACAAAAAAATAATGTTGGAAATCTGTATGAAGATAAAGAAGAGGAAGACCCAGAATGAAATGGTTTGACGATGCAGAGAAACGTTTGAGGATGAAGGTAAAAGACACCAAAGAGGTTTGGAGAACAGGAAAAGGAGAACAGCTTGCTTTCTTACAAATAAATCTTACAAAAAGAGCACGGATAATAACTAAGATTGATTAGCAAAGTAGCAAAGGAAGAGGAATACAATCAAATAAAGTACTGTTTTTATCTTCGAAGCCACAAAAATATCTATAAGCTATGAAAAATGAAGCTATACAAAAAAAGAGGACAAAGCAGAATTAATGTTATAGATCAAATAAGGTCAACCCATAATATTAACGAAAGAGCAAAAGGAATCATATAGAGGACAGCTAATTTGAAATGTGTAGCAACAATCAGAGTAACATACGATATTTTTTATTTAATTTTTCCTAAGAATAATACATACAAGGAAAGGAGCTACAGGAGAAATACTCCAGGATTAGGAGATCTGAGAATCTGGTTCTAACAAGTACTACAAACGTCGATTTTCTTATAGCTTTGAAAAGAAGTAGTAACATATTTAAAAAACGAGTTCCTTCTATACTCGTTGACAATAATAACAAAATTATTGTAAATAAGCATGAAATAAGAAAAGAATGGCAGCTGTATATATCAGAGTTGTTTGAAGATGACATGAATAATATTGCCGAATTCTACCAAAACTGTACTGACGGCCCAGAAATTATGAAATGCGAGGTAGAATACGCTACGAGCTATAAATAATGCTAAAATTAGAAAATCTTGTGGTCTAGATGATACACCAACTGAGTTGCTGAAACTAATAGAGAATGATAACATAAAAGTAGTAGTAAGACTTTTTAATTCAATATGTAACACCGGAGTGATTCCCGCAGATTGGCTCAAATCCATCTTTGACGCAATACCTAAAAAACACAATTCAAGAAAACGTTCAGAATATCGATAAATTAAACCTAATGAGCCACACTCTTAAAATTTTTATCATAATACTTCACAACAGAATTAGACGCAAATGCGAAGAAGATCTTGAAGATACCTTGGTTTTAGAAATGCTATGGGAACCAGGGAGGCACTTTTTGCGCTTAACATCCTATTACAAAAATGCCGTGACCAAAGAAAAGATGTATTTGCATGTTTCGCGGACTTCGAAAATGCATTCGATAAAGTACAGCATGTAAAATTAATGCAAATACTGAAAAATATCAGAATAGATGACAAGGATATTCGTGTCATTAAAAATGTGTACTGGAATAAAACTGCCATCGTAAAAATAGGAGATAATTATACCGATGAAATCTCTATACAACGAAGAGTCAGACAAGGTTGCATTTTGTCGCCAACATTTTTCAATGTTTACTCGGACCAGTTATTTAAAAAGGCACTTGAGAGACAACAATATGGATTAAAAATCAACGGAAAACTACTTAATGTGATTTGATATGCAGACGAAACAGTAATTCTATCAGATAATATTGAAGATCTTCAAATTCTGCTTGATCGTATTCACGAGGTAGGAGAGGAAATGGGCATTAAAATAAACTGGGAAAATTCACAAAATGACATATTTGGGAATTGTGATAACGGACCAACTAGATCCAGACATAGAAATAAAACGTAGAATAGCATTGACTAAAACTACTTTTATAGAAATGAAGTCATTTCTTTGCAATAACCATCTAAGTTTAGAACTAAAGCAAAGAATGGTTAAGTGCTATGTTTGGTTCGTACTTTTGTATAGTGCAGAAGTGTGGACGCTAAAAGTATCGAACATGAACAAAATTGAAGTATTGAAAATGTGGGTCCATAGACGAATGCTGAAGATACTTTGGACAGCAAGAAACACTAATGAAGAAGTACTAAGGAGCTTTAACAAAGATAGAGAATTGCTAAAGACTGTTAAACATCGAAAAATGTCTTATCTGGGACATATAGTAAGGGGAAGTCAATATAAAATATTACAACTGATCCTTAAAGGCAAAATAGAGGGCTTTAGACGTGTAGGAAGAAAACAAGTTTCTTGGTTAAAAAACATTCGTGAATGGACTCAGATTCAAAATGTAGGACAATTATTCCTTATTACAGAAGATCGAGAAGCCTTCGCAATGGTGATCACGAACGTCGGATAAATCTTATATGCCACGCAAAGAAGAAAGGTAGAATTAGGTGATGCATTAGTTAGTGATCAGTGCAATAATGCCTGGGGGCTCTGAAAACTGAACCTCGAAGCCCTGAAGAAGACATCAAAGAGAATATCGAAAGCTCGGCGCAATGATAATCGACGCGGTTCAAGAAAGACTGTTAAGTTTAATATTAATTCTTTTGTTGTTTTAATATTATTCTTGACTTACTGTCAAGCTTTCGAATTTATTTTAATTCTCTTTCAAGACATCTGTTAACAAATAAATATAAAAATTATTTAGTTATAATTAATAATTTTCTTACTTACTAGTCGTAAGATTATAAAAAAAGTTGTACTTTATAAACACCATTACACATATATAAAAGTTTTTTTAAAAAATTTCTTAAAATAACTAAATTGTCATTATATATGTCATTGTCATGTTGGCTTGACTAATATACATATATGAATAAATATACAGCTACTTCATGTGGAAAGCAAAACCAGTAACAATAGTTTTTATTATTATTTATTTGATTGTCGATGAAAAAGTAAATTAGTCCAGTCATCGACATATTCATCATCTAGTCATCATCAATTTATTGGATATATCAACAAATAAATAAGGAGAATTGCTTATGCAAAGTAAAAAGAAGAAGAAGAAAAATGACAGTAGATAAGAAAAGTGTATTTTGTCTTCTAATTAAGTATTTTATCTTAAGCTAATTAAACATCTACTTCTAAATATTTTCGTATATATAGATTTATATCGATGTAATACTTAAAATTTAATCCCCAGCGAAATTGTAACGGTTTAACAATGAAAAGTTTTTTTTTATACAAAAGACTAAGAGTGATACAATCTGATCTTCGACAATACCACCCACTGGGTCGCTGAAATGCGGATGAATTACTTTAAATCTGAGAGAAAGTGAAACACCTGCTTCGATTTTTTTTTGTATAATTACTTAATTTTATATAAGGCAACTGATGTTGGTTTTTATTCATAAAGTACACTTTTATGTAGATAAGAATCTACATATATGACATATGGCTACTGCTTGATGGCCTTGATAAAAAATGTGTTATCATTACAAACGTGATACGTGAGTTCATGTTTTTTGTTTGAAGTGTGAAATTCGGAATAAATGCTCCTACATTGGCAAATAATGAAAGTGTAAATATTTACAATTAAAAAATGCCGAAATTGTTAGAAATTATATCGAAGTATATTAAATGTAAAGTTAAATATGTAGCGAAATTAAAAACACAATAGGAAAATGTATAAAAAAAGTGTGTATTACAATACTTTGAAGATGTATGCAATAGAAGAGTTTTTACAAACAATTAGAAGCAATAAGAAGTGTAGTCATATTAAAGGAGTATGCGAAATATGCGTATACAGCAAAAAGTCTGACGAAAAAAATATTCTATAACTGGAGACCCAATAAAGTGGTGTGTAATCACGTAATGGTCAAATAGTAGTAGGGAAACTTTAGAAACTCACCTTTCAGATATGATAATAACAGAACTTATCGTCACTGAGTACA